TGATATATCCATATATCTATTTTTTAACAATGAATTTATATCCTCTGGCAGTTTCAAATCTGCTTTCCATATCTTATGTCATTACCATTTTCCCACGTCACTAAACAGTCTTCATTTTTACAATCCATTCATTTTTAATGAATTCATAAATTTTCGTCTTGTTGATATATGTTTGCTCATTCCTTTGTTCTTGGAAACTCAGACTGTTTCCATTTTCTATCTTCTTTTAATAACACTGTGTTGAACACCTTTTTTATGTAAATCACTATGAGACTCTCCGCTTGTTCTCTTAATACAAACTCCTAATGATAAGTTTAGTGAGTTAAAGTCAGCTGTAATCTTTGAGTCCTACATGTAGGATTACGTGTTGATAGGTTTTAGAATAAGAGAGAAGGCTAGAGGGGTCTGAAATGAAAATGTGCTCAGAAGTAGTCTTAGCCTCTTTGGAATCCAAGACTAGCCCCTGGCCAAGTTCTCAGTCTTCTTTCTGTGGCTTTCCGTGGGCTCCATGAACTAACTCTCTCTCTTTCTAAATATATATAAGTTCCTTGCTTCTTACACATGGCATTACTGTATTCAGCACCAGGACAGTTGTTAATGCAGCCTTTTGCTACGCAACCCTCTAAAGAATCCCATGTGTTTGATGACATGTGGATTAGTGACATAGTGTTTGTCAGAATGCTGAGGAGGAAACCAAATGTTTCCATTAAAATGCTCAAATCTAGAAACCAAGTACAAAGGGGATGAATATCACAATGAAATCAAAGTAAATTGATGACACACTACAATTTTGTTATTTGAAGATCCACTTTGCATTTGACGATGACTTTAGGATTCGCCCTTTCCAAGCCCTTTGCACGATTTTTCTTGCTTCTTTCAGATAGTGAGGTTGGTTGCCGTTCTCAATTCCTTTAAACCTAGAGGAAATGAGGTCCAGGGAAGTCCAGTCTCTTTCCCAGCATCTCAGGTTTTGTTCATCTCGGTGCCAAAATGGTAGTGATTGGCTTCTTTTTGGCTTCCTGATAGCCCAGCTGAGCTCTCCGATGTCTTCCCTGTTTCCATTTAGTCACTAGGACAAACACAAGTCTCAATTTCAATAGGATGCTTAAAGAAACTCATTATGTGTATATTCATTTTGGGAAAAAGTAAGCAAGTCTTGGAGGATGTAGAGGTCAGTGATGGCTCTAGAGATTGAAAAATGCAGTAAAATGTTCTGAAATTTGCTGCATTTGTCTTACAGAGGCAGTATAGACTTTTGTTTATTGTGGTTCCTGTGGGTATGTATATGTTCATAAGTAAATAAAGCTTTTCTTGTTGTAGAAGGTTCTAAAATAGGTAATAAAGCCATTCATGATCTCATGAGCCCAAGAACACACAGTTTAAGTGTATAACCTTCTATTCTTTGTTTCCAAATGCTTATGTATTCTGTTACATTTTTAACTTTTTTCATATAAACTTTTGTGTACAACCTTTTTAAAATTCCACCAAGAATAACACTTGCCATTTAGTTATATGAGAACATGTTCAGTGGTGTAGTTTATGGCCTTGATATTTAAGGGAAAGAGATTCTTCCTCCTCCTCATGTTGATTGGTCAGATCTCAGTCACTAGCAAAGAATTTGCCATTTGTTTTCTCCAAAGGGACACCTTTTTCATTGGGAACCTGAGAAATTCAGGTCCCAAGCTTTTCTCACTTCTGTAGATCGCACTTAGACTCCCACTTTGAAGGTACACTTTCCCGTGAAATTTTCTGGGATCCCTTTGAAGCAGCATTTGCCACCTCCCAGGCTCTAAGAGCAGATGGTGCTGTCCGTGGATTCTTTCTGCTGCCTCTTCTCAAAATTCCCCTTCCTCTCCCCAAAGGGAGCAGACGAGCCTCTTAGGACAGGCGCTGTTTCTGTCCATATGCCTCCTATGTAATACGTGACACGATTCCTACAAGTAAGCTTCCCACTTCCACTGGGAGCACAAAGTGTGCCTTTGCCCTAAGGAGAACCACTGACGCGCCATCAAGTGTGGGATCGTGCCGCTTTCTGTCACCCATCCATTGTGGGATGGCCGCAGTCACCTCCAGCTAGACAAGGGCCACATACCAGGATCTCTCGGTCTTGGAGAATTCTTCCAGTGATCTCTTTCAGTGCTTCCCGTCAGGTCTTCCCAGCTATTTTCAGTCTATCTGAATAGCTCTGAATTAATTAATGTTTATTTTAAAATTAATATTTTATTGCCTCAGCAAGATGTGAATTTGGTGTTGCTGAAAAAAATTCTAGATTAAGGCTGAAGTCTGCTTAAATTAGTCCATCCGATCCCTGCCCCTCCTTTCCCCACCGGAAATACAGTACACTTCAGTTGCCAGATTTCATGTGTGACAGTCAAGGAGAGGGTGTGTGTCTGAATACGTTTAACACCTGTCTCCTATGGCTGCCCTTCTACCTCGTGCTGTTCTCATTCAACGTCATAGTTTGGAGACCATCCATGCTGTTACCCATCGAGTTAGCTCGTACCTTTTAACCTCTGTGGACGGCTTCATAGGTTGGGTGTCCCTGAGTTTATGTAGAACTTCCAGTCATTTCCAGGTTCCCTTTATACCAACCGTGCTGCACTGAGCATCCTTGTACCTGCATAACCTTTGGATGTGTGTGTGAGTGTTTCTCTCTGATAGAGAATCCATGGTGCTGTTTATTTTATACATGAAAATCTTAACAGGTTGAGAATTTGAGATGGTCAGAGTTTTAGAAATGATGAGCAGAGTGTGGATCGAAGTCATTTTCCCGGACTTCTCCTAACTAGTTGGAGATTCTTTACAAAGTTCTGTAGAGGGTCACTGGGATCTTGGGTGACATCGAGTCTAGTAAAAGCTCACTCCAGTGAAGTGTTGCTTATTCCAATGAGCTAAGAACTTCAGTCCGATTTAGGGAAAAATCTGTATTTAAGGATGAGATATTTGACCATTTCGAAGTGTACCCAGTGACCCAAACTAATATAACTTGATAGACATTCCTTAAGGGAATCACATTAATGAACAAACTAAGGCAACTAATAATTATTTTTAAGAAAAATGACATCTAAATTGCTCAAGACAGTTATTCTCATCCATAGGCAGAATATTTCCCCTACGTATTTTTTGCATTTTAGCATGCTAGGCAAATGATTTTTCCTAATTAGAGTAAGATAACCATAACCACTTTTGTTTCTTCCCCGAATGGTGTAAATTAGCAAAGGAAAGTAAAAGGGGTTGACACCTGAGGGCCTGCTCTGTGCCAGGTGTGAGGCTTTTAAACATTTTGTCTATTTAATTATCACAACGAGTACAATGAGTCTTAGTCTCTCCACTTCATAAATTGAAAAACTGAGGCGCAGAGGACTTTAAAGCAACTCACTGAAGGTAGCCTATCCGAGTTTGGCGGACTTGAAAGAGTAACAGTCCTCGTTCTCCTGTATTATGGTTTCCTTGAATGGGGTCCTCCCGCCTTCTTCGTCAGAATCTTCCGGGATGTTTGCTCATACTGCAGATTCCTTGGCCCCTGAGGGTGGGTCCTGGGGTTCTGCACTGATAAGAAGCTGCCACATCCTCCATGTGCACTCTGAAGTCCCAGAGCCACTGTGCCAGACCATGGTGACCTCCTTTTGGTGATGTGACGAGCCGTGCCAGAAGAGTGCCCCCACAGCCTGTGGGGATGAGCAGTCCCTGTCACGCCTCTCTTGCAAGGGGGCCCATTAGCAGTGCTCCTCTGGGTGGCTTCCTCCTAGTCACCCACTCCCGCGGCCTCCTGTTACTTGCGCTGAACTTAGCACGGCTCCTCGTTTGACAACTCACTTCCAAGAGAGTTGAAATCGTTATACTATCTAGGGATCATGTTCTAAAAAAAGGTTGACCTTTCCGGTGCAAAATCATCAGATCCCAATACATCAGGTCCTGCATTGTGCCTAACATGGGTGGAATCTGCATTTTGTATTCTAACCTTGGCTCAAACCAAAAATTAAAAAACAAAATGAGAGGACTGCTTGCAGAAATGATTACTTTCAAAACACTGATAAATGTTTTTATTTTCCTTTCCAGCCCTCCTTTGCCACACTCCCTTGGTGACAGATATTCTATAAGTCTGCCCCTAATGGCTTCTGACTTTCCCAGAAGTGAGATCAGCGGCCCCTTTCAGCTCTCACCCTGCCACTAAAGACAGGTTTTTGGAAGAGCCAGCAAGGTTCAGTGAGCCCCTTTTTCTCCTCTGCCTTTCTCTTTCTGCATTATTATCTTTTTCTCTCAGCTCCATGAAATTTCTCTTTTCATTCCCCAGCAGCCTGCTTTCGAGGGGCTAGTCCCAGCAAACGGAATAGGAGTTTGCTCGGATGAATGATGTGTGAAGGGGTGTGCTGACGATCCAGAGGGTGTTCTAAACCAGCTTGGATTTGTGTTCTGTTCTGGCAAAAGAGCATCCGTTTTTGTTTTGGTGTTCAGCTCATTCAAGTAAAGAAGGCATTTCCTCTCCTAAAAGGCAGAGGATAAAAAAAAAAAAAGGAAGAAAAAAAAGAAAGACAGAAAAAAAAATTGATTTTAACCATTTACTCCTCTGAAACTAAATATACACCCCCTTCCTCTGTCCTGATTGGTCCACTTCAGTTGACAAGTGGAAAGGAAAGGAAATATCCTGGACTTAATTGTAAATTAAGTCGCTCTTAATCCAGAAGAGCATTTGAGGTTCTGTCCAAGTGTTCAATTTCCCCGGCCGCTGAGGTCTGTGAATTTCTTTTCCCAGCCTCCAGGCTGCTGCAGTACAAGTCAGCATAGCTAATGCAGATAGATCTCCCGCCCCTCCCTTTCCTCCCCCCTCTGCTTTGATTTGATATGAACAGCCTGGTAACTCGGTGCTGGGGAGAAATCTGACATAACTCTGCAGATGGCTAGGTTGCCATGAAACACCTGGGGATTGTTCGTTAAGGAAAAGGTAACATTTATATGCTAATGATTTCTTCCCCCTTCCCTCCTTGTTGCATTTTTTCCAGGGCTGCCAGTTCCCAAGAAGAGCCCAAAGTCGGTAAGGACTTGTCAGTTACTTGGTGCTCGTTTTGGGGGGGGCGGGGGCTGGTGTGGGGGGGGACGCTATCTGGCTGGACTTCAGTGTGTTTTACAGTGGGTGGGGGAGACAAAAACCAGGGCTCGTTTTATTAAGTTCTGGGGATCCGTTCGGTATAGAAGGTATTGGGGTTTGTCTTTAACTGTCTAGTGATTTGTGGGCAGGCTGCGGGAGCCTGGATAAAGAATGCATGTTTGGAATCTTCTCTGTATAAATGCATCACAACTCTCCCCCCAGTGGATGAGTTTCTTAGATATTTTAAGTTGATACAAACGCTACTGTTTCTTTGTGAGAGAAGGAAAAACCAAAAAACTCTAACTGCTTCCTGAGTAGCATTGCTCTCAGCTGGTGTTTCAAGCCATTCACATGGGTAGATTCCCTCCCTCAGCTTTCTTTTGCACTGGATGATGAATTTTTTTAAGGATTTTAAAGCCTGTAGGTTTATGGTAGAATTGCTCAGTCCTGTATATATATGCCCATGCTCACATGGAAAATGCCCCAGCCCTGAGAATAAGACATTTCCTTGTTGTGGAAATATCCTTTGTTGTTTTGCCAGCTTTAATGGCATTGTGCTGCAGGTATAGGAGTCTTTAAAAAAAAAAAAAAAAAAAATCAATGTTATGCTGTCCTTTCTAATCTGGTTTCCCTGAAGATGCATTACCTAGTCGACATGTTCGCTAATAGCTTTGAGGCTCTAGCGTTTCGCTTGGTGGTGGTGAGCTTTTGCTCCCTGAGCACTGACACCAAATTAAAATGCTACTTAAAACCTCAAAATCTGGAACTCTGATGCCTGTGAAATTGATGTGGTGAAAGAAGCATCCAAAATCATTAACAGTAAGATAAAGAGGGGTGTACTTCCTTGTGGCTTAGCGTATTTGGGGGAGGAGGAATTGACAACCTCTGCCATCCGAGAATGGAGAACTTTAAAACTTTGCAGCTTACGGTGCTGCAGCTGAATTCTTTCCACCTGTCTCCAAGCCTGGCAGCAGGAGGCAGAAGTTTATTCAGGAGATGAGAGAGGGAGCTTCCTGCATTCGTAAACCCTACTCCTAAGTTCTCCAAAGAGAAAAACCTGCAGTAATTGATTGTCGTGGCCTGGTGCCATGGTGATGGGAACACGTGACTTTGGGGCTGCTTCCCTTGCCATTTTGTGTTAATGTCCAGGCTGAGAAGTGCTGGTAGGTGTCTACATTGGAACCACAGAGATGCCAAAGCCCGTGTGTGTGTGTGTGTGTGTGTGTGTGTGTGTGTGTGTGTGTGTCCGTCCGTGTGTGTCTGTGTGTGTGTGTGTGTCCGTGTGTGTCTGTGTGTGTGTCTATGTGCGTCTGTGTGTGTGTGTCTCCCCCTCCCAGGATCACAGTCAGAAACCTATTCAGCCTTCAGAAAAATAGAAGCACATCTGAGAGATGTGTCACATGAGCTTGAGTTAGCAACAGTCATCCTTTTCTCTCCCACAGCCCCAAGCATGCTACCTGAGGCATGGACTTATTTTACACCCTCCACATGGCATGGAGTCTTGACCAGAAGCGTATACTGAGGGGGGGACAGTTTGGCACACGCAGCATGGCATCGGGTAGCAAGGTGTTCTGTTTCATTTTGCATCCCATTTCAACTTGCTGTGCAAAAGGATTTTTGTAGAGTCATTTACATCTCTTCTCCCTCAAAGTGTTTTGGAATTCCCCATTGAACTCAAAGGGTATCAAACAGGTACAGAGCTTGCATTCACCAAGTCAGTTAAGAGAATTCCCCATGACTCTTTATTTTGGAGGAAGTCATGTCATGAACAAGCAGCAAACCAATTACTCAGGCTGCATTCCTAGGAAAAAAAAGCTCTCTTAATTGCGTTGCCCACAGTCTGCTGGCTCTTAATTACCACAAGCTAAGAGACTGGTGTGTTGCTGGGTTAGAAAAGAACCATCCCCCAGCTTGGGGCTTGTCCTTCGCTGGTTTCTCTGCTAGGACAGGGATGATGGCTTTCACAGCACTGCTGGCACACTCTGGCAGCTGCTGTACAAAAGTAGGGGGATGTCAGCCAAGGTCTGCTGTTGCCAGTGGACCCTTGCGAACATTTGTCATCAGTGGGAGTTCTGCACAGGTGGGTTGAAAGCTGTTTGCCTTTCCCAGTTTGAATTTTGATGAGGTCCTGCTAGAGAGACAGATGATGATGGGATTGCTCTGGTAGGGTCGGAGGGAATCCATGGGGAAGCTGGATGACATGGTTCCGGAGAGTCATTCCTATGATGACAGGCAGGGCCAGGTGGGCTACGGAATGAAACGCACACCGATTATGCCTGGGTTGTGATACGCTGAGCGTTACCATTAGCTCTGAGATATACCGTTTGAACCCAGGACCATGTCTGTTCTTTATTCTTAGAGACTCCTGCAATTGTTGGCTTGCTCATGTGACTGACAGCTTCCTTTGCCCTCATATCTTTTTTTTTCCTATAAAGGTTTTGAATAATTAAGTAGTTGGGTTTTTATTAGAACAGGACTTCTCTTTTTGATCTCGTTTCTCCTCCTGAATAGCCTCTATAGCTTACTCTCAAGCAGCCATTTCACCTGCTAGATTTAGTGTACATGTTAAATTTGTGGTTTAAATACTCAAGGGGGACAACGGCAGTGTCTTAATAAAATTTAACTAATTTAATACCTGGACATCCATAGCATCAGGGGTTTTTCTGCCAAATGGCAGAGACAAAAATAAGACATATTTGCTATCAGGTTTTAGGCCTCACTGGGAAAATGGTTCGGTGGTCCACTTTAATCATGCTGACTGGAAACTTATTTAACGGAGACCCTTGGTCGAAATCACACACAAGGATTTTGCGTGTGAGCATTGAAAACTCTAAATACCACACCAAACCCTGAATTTTAGGTCAGTATTCACCCAGGCTTTTTCACTTGTTCATTTCCCAACTATTGCTTCCTTTGCTCCCTTCTTTCCTCTGTCCATTTGTCCATTTATCCATCTGCCCACCCACCATATATCCATTCATCTAGCCGTGCATTTCTCTTTTATCCACTCATCCATTCATCCTTCCATTCAGCAAGTTGGTGTTGAAAAACTACTAAGTGTCAGGTTTGGTGTGAGCTATTGGAAATGATATAATAAATGAGATGGTGCCCTTCTTCTTGGAGCTTATAAATGATTTCTTGATTGCTCCTTTCAAAAAAAGGATTTCTTGTCACAAATCACTAAGATTTTTTATGCATTTGTTCCATCAACAGATATTTATTGGGTATCTCCTGCATGCCATACCCAGCGCTAGTATACAACAGAAAGTAAAACAGAAAACATTCATGTCCTCATACGACTGGGGAAAGATAAATAGGCAGATCCGTACAGACCCTCCTCATGAGGCCTAAAGTATGATGAGCATATACTTTCAAAAGGTAACAAAGCAGAAATATAACATAAAACAAGTACTCACATAATAAAACTCATTCAGCTCTTAATGACAATAACCTAAGTGAAATAGCCATCCAAAGCCATAAAAAGCTATAAAAAAATTGAATTAGATACTGTGATAGAGCTATGGAATTCTTCCAAGTTCCCCAGCAGCCTACGCAGCATAGGTAACCACATTATTTACTTAGCTTTTATTTTCAGATCAAAAAAAAAAAAAAAAGCATAACGTGTTCACTAAGGAGACAGTGTTTTCCTAGTTCCTAAAAGAGTTCTCACAGGGACTTCCCTGGTGGTCCGGTGGTAAAGAACCCACCTTCCAGTGCAGGGAACCCAGGTTTGATCCCTGGTTGAGGAACTCAGATCCCACATCCCGCGGGGCGGCTGGGCCCGCGAGTCACAACTACTGAGCTCGCACACCTCAACTAGAGAGCCCGCGTGCTCCAAACTACAGAGCCTATGCACTCTGGAGCCTGTGCGCCACAACTAGAGAAGAAAGAACCCGCATGCTACAACTAGAGAGAAGCCCACGTGCCGCAATGAAGAGCCTGTATGCTACAACTAAGACCCGATGCAGCCAAATAAATAAACACTTAAAAAAAAAAAAAAAAAGAGTTCTCACATAAAGTTTTCATATAGGGGACACCAAGTGATGGGCAAGGAAGTGTCCTCAGCAAATGCAGCAAGCTGAAAGGTAGCAACAGTGACAGGTTTCTGTTCCATGGTCCTCTGTCCCTTTCCCGTGGAAGGGATGCTAAGGACATAGCTGACAGCTAGTCATTAAGAAATACGAGGGAGAGATCTTAGACAATGTGCACAGTAACTGACCCCGGCCTGAATCCTCCTGAATGCTGCCTCTTTCTCAAACTCTCCTGGTGGCCTTAGCACCCCAATGCCACTTGTCCCAGATCCAGGGCATAGCACAACCCACCAAAGCTCCAAGCTACAAGGAGAAGCAGTGAGAGTAGTAGATGGGAGAAGGCCTAGGGTTACTTAAGTAAGTCTCCTTGCCTCTCGTTGCTCACAGCAGCTCATACCCTCGGCCCTTTGGAGCCTTAGAAAATAGAATTTTCTGTTGTATTAGAGTCCATTAAAACATTCAGTATGAACTGAAATTCATTTTCATATCCAATCAGTACTTTCCTTTTCTTCTCCATTAACTCCTCTTTCTTGCCTTTTGGAAGAAATCATTTGACTTAGACCCATAAATGATAAAAGAGAGAGACAGAAAGAAGGACCATCCTCTGCTTTGGCTCGCATTTGAGACTGATTTTCGCGCAACCTTTAATGACATTGGCCTGATACCTCATCAGCACTTGTAGTTTTTCCTGTTGTCCATGTAAATCGCTGCAGTGGCCTTCAGTCTTGGCAGATACATGAACTGTAAATAATTTTGCCTTAAAAATGGATTGATTTGTCATTTTTAAGCCACATGAATTCTTTTCATCATTTAAGCTAAGTGCTGTCTGTATTCATTTGCTCTTCC